CACGAGCACATGTCTTTCCAAAAATATTAGTGAAAAAACTTATGAATAAAAATATGACTTAAGGATCCATGAGCATACACTCATGGTTACTCATGTGTAAAATTGATAATAATAATGGTCATTATTAGTTACTATTCCATTCATCTAACAAAATTATAATTGTAATGAAGGTTGTACCCTTGACTTATGTCAATACACTTTATGCATAAGACCTTGTACTTTGTTTTTAGAAAATGGAACCTTACTCGTCTAAATGGCTTCTTTACCCTTCTTACACCGTCAAAGCTTCTATCATCCGTTAACTCAATTTTATACTCCAATTTTTTTCTGCATATCTTCGTCCGTCCATGCTGTTCTAGAGGGTTAGAGCTAGATAAATGACATTAGATTCAGTTGACAGGTTGCATATCCCCTTTTAGCAGGTCTGAACTTCAATTCAAAGCAGAGAGTTGCTGAAATTTGATGAGGTCCAGAAAATCCTCAGTGATGTCAAGGGAGACATTTTGAAAAAATCTCCATCCAGAATCTCGACGAGTTCTCCATTATATGGTAGTCGTCACCGAAAGATCATCTTAACTGGTAAAGAACATCGCTCAAGCACAAAATTATTCTCCTAGGGTCAAAATGCCTAATTCATCTACTTCCTTAAATTTGAAGTTTTTTATTTCTAAATGAAGCGTTGATTTATATTCATTATTCAATAGAAATTAACTACTACGTATATTTTACATTCTATTTAGGTTTTAGCTTGCTCACAATATGTTCGACAAAATGTTTGGAATAAGCATATTCTTATTGTTTAGCTTGTTAATTAAAAGTTTTATGCGTTATATTTAACTTCCTGATCGGATGTCTTTTACTCTAATTTATGTTTCCCTTGTGATGAGGGCGAAGGGTTCGACCAACGATCATACATTGTGGATCTGCATTGTCGATTGTACTTTGTAACTTGGGTATGTAGGTTGTGATTTAGATTAGAGGATAAATAATTTTTACTTTTTATTTGCTATGAATTGTATTTCCTTAAACTTTGGGGTTGTTTTGGTATGTTTCATGTCTATTTACTTTTGCAAGTTTAGAATTAATTTTTGTGGGATGCAATTGTACATAGATTCATTTGTGGTGAATCCAGTAGGTGCACACCTGAACAAATGCTACATTGATTAATTTTCATTGTTTTTGTTTTCCTGTTATTGCTAATCTGTTCTCTTTTCTTACTGTTCGGTTTGAGAAGATTAGATTACACTCTCAAATGGATTGCACTTTTCTTCCTATCCCTCTCCATTACCTTCCTTTCAATTCTCACCCCAACTCCTCATCACCGTGTATTATTTTCTTTGTTTACAGTACATATGTATATAAATATACACATTAATTTCTTCTTTTTTCTATTTTTCCAGTTTTGGAATCATGTTACACACACATGTCATCCCTTGATCAAGCGACCTAGCTGCTGGAGTTGTATGTATGTGCGAATCAGTTTATTCACTCTAAATATCTTAGGATTAATATAGAGAGAATCTTTTAAAATATTAATATACTACAAGTGCTAGAGGATATGAGATTGCAGATTGCAATCTCAATTGGTGGCAAATCTCTTCATCTCCGTCGTTAATTTTGTACCACCATCTTTTCCATCGTCTTTATCTTTTCCAGCCCATCAAAGCAGCATCAGGATATGTTACAAAATAAATAGAAAACTGACATAAGGAAGTGCAATATATCACGCAGTAACATGAGCTAAATCCCAGAGCAGCTATTCTCTTTGGTGACAACAATACATAGAACAGAAACATCAAATCAACAAGGCTCGAAAGGTTCAATTTCCCTTTCTTTTTCAACACAGACTACATGGTTACTAAGCTTGGCATTTTTTTGAACGTACGATCCAGTTCTACCCGAGGGAAATGGTGAGGGGCAGTCGTTTTCATAATCCTCACTTGCATACTTTCACTTTATAACCTTTCATATGCTCTTCAAGTAATCTGGTCATGTGTTCTTATACAACAAGTAGTATGCATGTTCCCAAACATATATGCTCATGCGGGGAACCAGATTCAGTCCTTCAGTAACTTGATGGATACTAGTTTGAGGTGATTTCTACCACAAGGTTTGTACCATAGTAGTTTATAGATAAAAATGCCATCAAAGTGATTTAATCTCTGATTTTGTTTTTCTTTTTATTTATTTATGAGCAGGTGGTGAATTATCCACAACTTTGGGTTTAGACTTTTGTCTAAAACTTATTTAGATAAGCAACTTGTGGGACATTTGAGTTGTGAATTATTAAGTACTTGAAAGTCGGTATTTTTCTTACAATTGGTGATTAATAGACATGTAGAAGTAATTCAAAGTTTGATATGCTAAAAGTTGTGTACTATTATTATAAATCGATTTTCAAACTCCGAACGAGTTTATGCCAAAGGCTTTGGGTGTTAGAAAACAAGGATGATTGGTGTGAAACTTTATATGAGGGATGATTGGTTTCTACCGACCATTCTGCCATTAGTGAGATAACATTTCAAAACTAAGGGTCTGTTTGCTAACAGAGATATTTTTTGATTTTTCAGAAAACTGGAAAACTGGAAAAAGGAAAACAGAAAACGTGTTTACCAAAAAAATTGTTGGAAAAATGGAGAAAGGAAAACAAAAAATTGTGTTTACCAAATCGTTTTCCAAAACAAAAAATGAAATATTTCTCTATTTTACTTAATGAATTAGAGAAGTGATTTATAATAGTTTTCCAAATTTGAAAAACGCGGAAGCTGCAGTGCCACTGTAATGAATATGCATACTTATGTCTAGTGTTGGATGGGGTCCCGCTCTGGTGTCGGTTCCAGACCGGTCTGGTCAATGACTCGATGATCCCTATCTAGTTCGGTCAATGACCCGACAGTCCGATCCGGTCATTGACTCGGTGGTCCATGTTCGGTCCGGTCAACGGCCGAGCGATCTCGGTCCAATCCAGTCGACGAACCGTCGCTCCGGCCCAACCAGGAAGCCCCAACCAACGAACACCTATCAGAGTGTGACACATGCACATCTTTCCCAACGCCAACATTCCAACGGTCACCCCAAGGAACTCAATGGCCCCATTCCAACATCCCTCAACAGCAACAACGATACAACCTTCGGGTTATCGCATTTGCAAAAAAAAAAACTTTCTGCCCGAACATGTCTTCGGCCTCAAGGAGTGGGGTCTGGAGGACTCCCCTCGGTTAAAAGTAAAAAAATGTCAAAATTAATTCACAAATATAAACAACAAGATAGCCTTCGACAAAATCAGAGAACTACTCCCCTTTCCCTCGAGAAGCTCTTGACAAAAGAAAGTGGGGGACTCCTGATGGAGTATATAGCCCAGGAACCCCCCGACCCACATACTCATGCTACCTTAAACAAGTCCAATGAGCCCAGGCGGCCAGATACAGCAGCCCAAGCACAGTGCAGCCAACATCCCATAAAGGAATGGCTTCGATACCATGGCTGAAGGCCCTAAACTCAGGAACGCCGCTCCATTCTGGACAGGCAACATGCCTCGAGATTTTACCTCATCACGCCAGCCTTCAATCATATAGCCTTCGGCCCCAGTACCGAAGGCCCCATCTCGACAGAAGCTCCTCTCTACCTGGCGTCCAACCACCGCATTTAATGCGATGCCACGTGCCAACACCTGCACAACCGGGGAGCTCTCCTTCATAGACTAGCTTACACGTGCATGTGCATTTAATGCACCTAGCATTTATGACTAGTATAAATAGCACCCCTTGGGCAGTTGTAACGGACCATTGGTTATTTATTGCTACCACACGTTCTCCCTCTTACTGATTGCTCTGACTTCTCTCTAGATACAACTAGTGATATCCCAGTATAGACTATCTATCAGTGGTATTATATAATAATTTCACAATAATTTAGCATATTCATATTATGTGTTATATATTAACTATATATGTTCTTCCAAAAAAAATATTAAACTATACATGTGAGGTGTTTGTTATGGTTTTTCTTCCCTACACAGTCAACGTAAAGTTCGTAATATTGGCGAGGTTTATTAGCTAAATATATCCCCAACTATAATGAAATTCGCAAATCTATCACACTTTGATTTTTATTAAAAAAAGACTCAAACTTCAACTGTTCTCACAATTACACTTTAACGGATGAATTAGTAAAAATTAAGAAGAAAATTACATTTATATAAAAAAAAATCACTTCTTTCTAGTGTTAAGTTTACAAAATTGTATTGCTTATATCTTATTGGTATTGATAAAAAAGTGTAATTTTGAAAAAAAAAACAAAAAGAAAAACATAATTGTTGAAAAACTTGAAGTTGGAGTCTTTTTTTGATAAAAATGAAAGTGCAGGATAGATTTGTGAATTTGATGATAGTTTGAGATAAAATAAGCTAATAATCGTATTGGCGATCCAACGTACAGATATGAAGCATACTTTTGTATGAAGAAAGATCAAATAAAACATTGGCGATCCAACATACAATTGTACGTACGTACTATGGGGCATAATTTTGTTATGTAGAATTGTAGAAAGACCAAAGTTGTTTGAAAGTGTGTTAAACACTAGCGTTGAACCTTTTTATTTATAACGTTTTATTATATAAGATTTTTTATTCTTTTTCACATATTTACACATTGTCTTTGTATTAAGATTATATTATCTATTTTGATTATGCACATAGTGCCACAAAATTGTGCCAAATGATGCACATTGTACAACAAAATTTGTTCATATACGTGTTAAAAAATGAAGTATAATTGCACAACTTATTAAATATGGAGTACGATTTTATACATCCAACTTTTATGATAATGTAGCACAAAAAATCAAAGAGCATATAAACCTGACACTAATTTATCGCGAATTTATACATTTTTATTTGAGATAAAAGTCTTCATCTCACATATTAGAAGTTTTAACGTATGTTAGACCTCTAACTTGTGATAAACATGATTCATACATTAAAAAAAAAATCATCAATGCCTGTTTTCAAAATAAGTGTAAATCACTTCATCACAACTTTGTGGTCATTTAGATATGTCTCTTAAAAGTTAGAGGGAAAAGTGAATGGGACAGTCCCAAGAAAAAGAAAGTTGATGGAGATGCATTGATAAATGTATGATATGAGAAAATAATCAATCCATTGTGGATGTAGAGACATGAATTATTAACTTATTTAGAACAAGGAAGGAAGGAGTGCAAACTGAGTAGGATTTCATTCAACGATGATCTTGCCAACCATTCCGGCTCCCTGATGAGGCGAACAGTAGTAGGAATAAGTGCCCTTCTCGGTCAAGGTGACCTTGAAGGTATCCCCGGGCCCGTTCAGCAGATCCTCCTCGCTCATCGAGATCTTCGAAGCGTCCACCCCGCTCGGCACCTCGTCCTCCTCGAACACCACGTTGTGCGGGAACGCCTTCCCGTTCTTGAACTCGATCGTCTCCCCCCGCCCCCACCCTCAGCTCCCGGGGGATGAACGCCAGCTCCCCGCCTTCCCCCCCCAGTATCACCTGCGCCGCATCCGCCGCCCCCACCAGTGCCGCCGCTGCCGCTATCACCGCCGCCCCGCCCACCACTTCCCTCACCCCCGCCGCCGCCGCTCTCACCCCTCTTTTCTTTGCCGCCCCCCCACCCCTCTTTTCTATCACTGCTACTCTGCTTCTCACCAAGCCGCCACCCTCCCTCATCATGCGCCACCGGCCAGTGGTGGTGGTGGTGGTAATGGAAACGCCCACTGGGCTCACACCGGCCATTCTATTTCAATTCTTAGCCACGGACGGACTCAATTTATTTATTTATGTATGCCCAAAGCAAAGGCAAAGGCAAAGCAAATACTCCGTATGTATGTGTGGTCGGTCTGTCATGGAGGACGCAGATAGGCTTTCTTATCCTTACCTTCGTGTCATTTTACAGTATTTGCGGGGTCTATTATGCTTATCCTCTTACGTGGCTTTTTCACAACCACACACTTGGAGTACGCACGGCTCAAAAGGCAACGGATAAATACTCCCTCCGTCCCTAATAACTTTGCCAAGTTTGACCGGCACGGGAATTAATAAAGTAAAAACTGTGTGGTTGAGGTTTGTGCAGAGGAGAGAGAATTAACTGGAACCACAAATTCTTTACTTAAATGGGAAAGTGGCAAAGTTAATGGGACATCCAAAAAAGGAAAGTTGGCAAAGTTATAAGGGACGGAGGGAGTACCTCTTATCTAAAGTGGTTTTATCTAGCCAAAACTATATCGAAAAGGCTACTCTTATTTTAACCGGGAAATCGTTACATACCGACCGAAAGGGCTTAATTGAACGTTTTTTAATAGTTCAAGGACTTAATTGAGTGTTTGTAAAGTACGAGTGCCTAATCGACTTTTTCGGTATAGTACGAGGGCTTATTTGATAGTTTTTCCTTTTATCTAAGAGTGTTTGGATTTGTTTTTTGGGAAAAGGGAAAAAATGTGAAGTTGCCATCAAGGAACATCCATCTATGCCCATAAACTTATTTTTTGAGCAAAAATCTTTAAGAACCCTTAAAAGAGGGCAAAAGACCCCTTTGACTAACCGAAAGTCCCAAACAAATAAACGAACAAGCAAGCTTTAAATTTGTTCATTTGGCTTAGCTTCTGCAGGCCGTATTAAAACCAATAAATATGTTAGTATGTTTGATATTATTCCTTTTAAATTTTAAATTGTGCTATATTCAAGAAAAAATCTGGACGGCTTTGGTCCCCAAATCAACACATGTGCTCATCCAAAAAAAATATTTATTGTAGACTTGTAGATTAATACTATCTTGCTAGTTCACTTTTATCTATGGTGCAATTTTTGTTACTTGTTTATTAAATTGCAAGTTCACTTTTATGCTAGACTAATTTAATTTTTGTTACTTGTTTATTAAATTGTTTTTGAAAAGTCAGTGAATAGTATATTTTTAATGTCACGCAATATTTGTATTTTGAATTCAGAAATTATCCTAAAAAGGATTAAACATTAACTTTCTATCTTTAATACCCCTATGATGGTACCATGGATTCTAGCCATGGCCCAATTACGTAACCCAGTCCATAAACGGGATCAGCCCTTGACGGGATTAGCCTAATTAACAGGATTAGCCCATAAACGGGATCAGCCCTTGACGGGATTAGCCTAATTAACAGGATTAGCCCATGAACGGGATTTATATTGAATAAGCCGCTTGGCCCATTAGGAATTAGGCCCACGATAGGAGCCCACAGCCAGGCCGGGCTGGACAGCAGACCTCGAGCCTGGGCGGAGTTCTAGTGAGGTCGTAATATTCTTAGGGCCTACGTGGCAAGCTATCATTCAATAATAGATATTTGGCAACAGGCAGGACTCGACCGGAATTAGGAGATGATTATTGCGTGAGGATGAAGCACAGAGGGAGTTCTATTTCGAGCAAGAATATAGTTCATTAATTAAGCATTTATCGTATTAGATTCCTCCCATAATTCTACTTCCTAATCTCTATAAATACTTCATGTAAACACCCTACCAGGGGATGTGAATTCGATCTCCGGAATAAGAGTAATATTGCCTTACGCTGCCATATTATTTCGACATTATTTCTATACTCTACGTATATTTAGCTCTCGTAGTTGGATTAAACTCCATCATTTGGTGCTCTCGTTGAGAGTTGAATCTATGAAGAATCATGGTTGGATCGAACAACCATAATCGTGTTGGTAGCGATCAAGGCGGAAATCGTTATAACCAAGTTATGATCGAGGACGAATGTTTGAGGTCACGACGGCGTGATTTCCGGAGGCGTAACGACACTATCACCGCTCAAGGTAATTTGAGAAGCCGGATTCACGGTGCGGGGAATTCTAGGCGCACGGCGGTGCGTCCACCGCAGTTTCAAACGTCGGGCACTGGACATAACATTCCCAACGTGGATCCAGCACAGGCATTAGCGAGCCTCGCTACGTTTCAAAGGGCGGTGGAGACTTTGACGACTGCATCCTTAGGTATTATTCCTGATCCTAATGGGAGACCTCCTTCACCTCGCCGGGCGCCATCTATGATCCCATGAGGAGAAGAAAACTCCCCTCAACGTTAGTCGTTAGAGGCACTCTCCGCTGGTCCAATGTCAACGCTCTCATCAATCCAGAGCAACTCCCAGGATTCCAGTGGCGAATCGGATTAGCGAGCAGAGAATTTCTGTTCGTGATAGGCTTTCCTCCAGGGTGGAGCATAGTGAGGGGGGATCTTCGGCTGCCGTTTCATCCCACCGCCGAAGTGCACGTAGGGGAGATCTCAGAGACGAGATCAACGCGAATAGGCAAGCCCGAAGAGATCGACAATCTTCAGTGCATACCCAGGTCATTCACAACAATACCGACCTCAGGAGGAGGCTGGACGAACACAGAAGGGAGATCGAAGGGAGAACTAATCTTGAGCATGGCGTGCGAATTCCTGAGCCTTTTACTAGGAAGATTATGGAGGCACCACTTCCTCAAGGATACAGACCATGCAACATCAAGGCCTACAAAGGAAAAACAGATCCCCCGCATCATGTTTCTAGGTATGTGGCTTACACGGTCATGAAGGGATACGATGATGCTATAAAGTGCAGAGGATTCTCGGTAACCCTAGATGGGCCAGCCCGGGAATGGTACGACTCTTTGACAAATGGAAGGATAAGAAGCTTCTGGGAATTGACTCACTCGTTTGTTGCGCGTTTTGCCACCTCCAAAGATTCCAAAAAGAATGTCTCCCACCTCCTAGGAATCAAGCAGGGCTCCCAAGAAACCCTTATTGACTTCCTAGTTCGTTGGAGAGATGAGACGGTTAAAGTGGAAGACCTGGATGATAAATCTGTTGTGGCTATTCTCACCAACGCTCTAAGGTCGGGTGAATTGTACAAAGAGTTCATACGCAAGCCCCCGACCTCACACGAGGAGGACCTGCTGCATGCTAACGCACAGGACGAGGTTGAGGAAGTAGAGAAACAGAAGAGAGATGAGGAGTCTGGGAAGTCCCAACCTATCGACAGGAAAAAGAAGAGTTTGGAGAAAGAAACCCATGACCAAGAAAAGGGGAACGGGTTCAAAAAGAAGAAGAAGAAGGGCTGGGGAAAGGATAAGTCGAATGTTCCAGAGAGTCCCTTATCCAGCCAGCCAGAGTTTCCAGTTGATACAGTTCTAGATTACGCAGCCAAGCAAGGTTTGATCACAATCCCCGAGGGGTGTAACATCGTCAACGGTCAACCTTCTAAGGGTAAATTTTGTAAAATACACAAAAGCGATACCCATGAGACTGACGATTGTTACATCCTCAAGAGATATGTGGAAAAACTATCCCGCGACGGACAATTGGACCAATTCGTGAAGATGATCCGGCAAAATCAAGATCCCCAAAGAAGAAACACCTGGAACAGGGGGGAGACGAGTCAGCCTCAACTTCAAAGAAAAGGGAGGTTGGAGCCAGTTTGAGGATGATGAAGAAGGGGAAGATTCCGGCCGGCAGAAGCGCCCTTATGTGAACCAGATCTACGGCGGACCTATAGGCGAAGACACACCGGTGGAAAGGAAAAAATGGAATCGACAAAAAGCAAAAGCGGGAGTCCATTATCTTCACCGACGACGACCTGTCACCGTGTCCTCCACCACATAGGGATGCACTGATGATAAAAATGGAGGTTCTTGATACTATTGTCCATCGAGTCCTCAGGGACAATGGAAGCTCAGTAAACATTCTATACATGAATACTTTCTATGAGATCGGTCTCCAAAAGGCAGCCCTCAAGCCCGTTAGAACCCCGCTGTCAGGTTTTACCGGGGACACAATTGAGCCCGAGGGGGTTGTCACCCTCAAGATCCAGCTCGGATCGGAATCATGTGTGAGGATTGTCGAAACAGATTTCGTAGTGGTAAAGCTATCGAGTGTTCACAAAGCAATCCTTGGCCGACCTCTTTTGGAGGACTTGGGAGCCATCATTTACCAGGCTCATTTGTGCATCAAATTCAACACTCCCGCGGGAATAGGAACAATAAGAGGATACCAGGAAATGGCCAGGAATTGCTATGTGAGGGCATGCAAAGCTCACGGGAGGAATGAAGCTAGAGTGAATGCCATCGAACATGACTTGTCGAAGTTTGAGGGAGGGCAGTTCAAAGCCCAGCCTACTTCAGAACTTGAGGAGGTCGGAGTTGATCCAGCCCGACCAGAACGTCGGATCAAAATCGGTGCAGGGCTCCAGGCCGACCTGAAAGCAAGAATAGTCCAGGTTTTGATGGAATTTGAGACGATCTTTGCCTGGGGACCTGAGGATATGCCATGGCTCGGCCCCAAAATAGCAGTTCATCATCTGAACGTAAATCCAAAGGGTGCTCTTATCAAGCAAAAACGCAAGTACTTGTCTTTGGATAGAAAAGAATTTGTTAAAGGGGAAGTAGTGATGTGAGTTTTCTCGCACTTAAAATGGTTGTAGAAAAGTGATGTAAAGTACGAGTATCGTCTCCACAGGGACGGACAAAAGGGAATTAAAGATTAACTAAATTTAGCGATTAAACAGAAATAAAAAAATTAAAATGCGATGTGCGAGATTGATTGATTGAATTAAAATTAAAACTAATGCTAATGAGCGATAAAAATAAAAGATTGGTTTCTTCTTAATTAACGACGAAGGGAACAGGGATTGATTCCGGGGTAACCAGATTTCTGGCAGATCAGGCCTAATTACATGAATTTAATTTAATTGAGCCTAGCTAATCATTACTAAGTTCTTACCGCTCTCGCGGCGTAGAGTACAATAATTTAGAGGACCAGGCTGATCTCTCATGCGACAGGATCCTAAATTATTGCCAAGACGAGCGAGCTTACGGCCCCCTAATCGCTACTAATCTCTTAGCGAACGATTAAGTGTGTGTGAATGTGTCCTAGAACAAATTAGATCTCTCTTAATTCATTCTACATGCAATTGTAATTCTAGCTGCAATCTAGGTTACAAGAGATATCAATTAAATTATTCAAACACAAATTAAACGGCATTCATGCAATTAAACCGACAAGAATCTAGCCATCAATCATGATTAACCCCTTCATCAACCCCAAATCCCTAATTAAACTACTCACAATTCATAATTGAAGAATCAACAGAATTGAGATGAATAGAAATAATTGTCATTAATTAAAAAGATGAACTTACAAATAATCCCAGGGTCTTGGAAGAAAATAGCGTAAAAACGGTGTTAAATTCGTCCCTAGGCCTCTCCGTAATGTTCGTAACGTCAAAATATGGGTATGGGAGTCTTATTTATAGAAAACAGATGAGTTTGGGCTGAACTGGGACTAAAAAAGGGTTGAAATCCGCGTCTCGGGTGTACGCACGATCGTGCGTACCTTGCCACGCACGATCGTGCGTAGCAGGCAGATTAGTTGCCGCGTTGTTGGCTCTTACGCACGATCGTGCGTCCTTTTACGCACGGTCGTGCGTCCGTGCTCTTCAGCCTTTTTTCTATTCCGAATTTGACAAAACTTCCTTCATGAAAGTTGTAGATAATGAAGTCCTCTATCCACCCCAATTTGCCGAATGTGATTTGGATCATCCAATCAAGAGATATGATCAAAACGGTGGAAGGTGTCATTCTGAAATCGCAGCAGAGATCATCTGACTTCATCGTCTGTTTTCACCTTCTTCCTCTCAGATTCTCGCAAAGGTGTCTTCATATGATTTGTAGCCCTTGAAGTTGGCTTTCCTATGGAACTTGAATCGTGTACATTGGATGTTGATTCAAAGAGATATGCTTGAACGATTGACAGAAGGTCATCCTGATCGTCGTTTTCAAGCTTCATTTATCTTCTTTTGACCCCGAAGCCAATCCTAGAGCTCTTTTGACATCAAATCTTCATCGTGAACCTCCCGGTGACCTCCAAAGCTCTCAAATCACTCTCGAATGCATCTCGAATCATCCCAATTGCTCCTCAAGCGCCGGTGCCGGACTCTAAATTCCTGATTTTGACTCCAAATGACACAAAACTCGAACCAACGCCTGTTAAACATAACTTGAGCTAAAATTGAGACTTGCAACACCTTAAAGCTAGGAAAACCATCAAAAGCCGATCTCAACACGCATCAAATGTGTGTCTAAATACGGACTTATCAGATTCCCCCACACTTAAGCCTTTGCTTGTCCTCAAGCAAACTAAACAACGGGACTTACGATAATCACCACACGGAATTAAAACAATTAGCATGCACATGTAGTTAAAGGGATATTCACAGAACAAACAAACTAAACCAAGAAAATTCTTCCTTAAACTACATCTTTGTACTCTAGCTAAAATATTTGACAAAGTTATTCACAACATCCTCAAAGTAATGGCAGCCTACACAAATAAACTAGCTATTGATCAGAAGGACTTGTGAAGGTGGTGGTGAAGGGTGAATGGTAAGGATAAACGGTTCCTTTCTTGATAGTTCGGAACATTCTAACAAAGACTCAATGACTCAATGCATTCAGGAACTTCAGGGCTAATCTTAGGATCAAGGAACTTAGTAGGCCACAATTTAGGAACAATCATTTAAACCTATGCAAAGAGTAGACATGGTGTACAACTAAGCTAAACCGCCGCGGCACATTTGTGCTTTGACGTATACTTGAAGTACGCAGAGGACTAAAGCTAATTTTGCAATAGCCTCCATGTTCATTTAATTAGGTTTAATTTTCTTTGTCATGTTGGCACGAGAACGCCGTTTCTTTCGAAAGATACCCAAGTCTCATCTTACGCTTTTTGACTGGGGCTCCCATTCTCTTTTTCGCAAAGTAAGAGGTCTAGCTATATTAATTTTTCACCTTTCGGATTCTCACTAGACATTACCCCATTCTAATCTCGGCCTCACCAAGGAAAAATAGCAATTTAAGTTCATTAATTTCAAAGTGAATCCATGCCTACAATGCAATCCTCGAAAGTATCAAATTCCTAAAAAGTGACTGCTCTTACGCCCATTTGGGGCATAGGAACAGTGCCAAAAATGGCTCCTACACAAAATTCCCTAAACTTAGCAAATTAATCCCTTAGTTCCCTAAACATCAAGACTAAGTCAGAAATATTCACGGGTAAGGAAACACAGGCCATTTGGCTATGGAGCTCAATTAATCGGGTAACAATAAACGGTCAGGCTCAAAGTGGCTTCTCCTAAAGGAACTTGTTCAGGTCAAATGGAACATTTGTTAATTCATTAAATGGGTGACTAATGCCTTCATCCTTTCAACAACTAAGTTATCATGCAAGCAATTTAAGCCTAAACACTTCAAGGACATTTTAAAAACATAGTCAAAACGCTAGCCAGTTCACAAAGACACAGTTTAAAGAAAAAAATTCACAAATTTTTTTGCATGAATTTCCTATGAATATACAACTAACACCTGCGCATGCTAACTCTAATAAATCTCATGTAACAACCACTGCCCGAATGCCCAATTCACTCCCCCACACTTAAACTTTGGCATCGTCCTCGATGACAAAAAATGCACTATGCACAAGGGGGTAAAGAGGATAGGGTCACGCGTGCTCAACTTAACTCAAGTCCATTATTACAAACAGGCGATTATTAGAGTCACAGAAACTTCCCTATGGCGCTGGTCGGTGCAGAACTAAACTGAGTCAATGTAATCCTTGGCACATCACCCATATAACAAGACCCTGGGCTGCAACAAAAACACAAAGCAAAACAACCAAACAACAAACAAAGAAAAACAAAAGTAGAAAAAAGCTCGGGTTGCCTCCCGAGAAGCGCTATTTTTAACGTCGTGTGCCCGACGCAATCACCACATCAAAAACTCAGTCAAAGACACTCCCGCTCAAAACATTAGTCTTCCACAAATCAAACCTCCTATCAACAAATGCCCTGAGATGGCGTAAGACCTTAAATTCATGAAAACAAATACGCATCTCAGGGTCACCCGTAAAGCAAAAGAATGGATCGGGGCCTTTATCAGGCCCTTTAACAAAGAATGGGTCAAAGAATGGACTAATCCTTTTTGTGTCAGAAAGTTTCCGGTCTAGAGCTTCCCTTTGTTCACTACGTAGATTAAGACATGCTGATTTTTGGGATAGCTCAAGCCCGGATGCAAGAAAAACAGGGGGGTCAGGACTGTCATCAATAAAATCATACTCAAGGTGGGATGGAAGAGGCTTTAGATTTAATGGAGAAGTAACAATAAAGGAATCGGTCTGAAAATTTTCCTTCTCCACCTCATCTAAATCATCTTCCGCCCCCCTGCACAGAACTAGCATCACTTGAGTCCTCCTCTCCACTAATCATAAGACAATCAAAACTAGGGAGGGGCTCAAGATCCTCTGCTGTCACACTATCCTCAAACAAAAGGTCAGAAAGGGCTTCATTAGAAAGCATGTTAGGGGTGCAATCCTCCACCATCGAATCTATGTCGTCCAAATAAAAACACTCTCCACTATCCTGACAGGGCCTCTTCATTATTTTGGACATATCAAAGGTGGCAGTCTCATCTCCAACGCGGAGGACAAGCTTACCGTCTCCAACATCAATAAGTGCTCGGGCAGTTGCCAAGAATGGTCTGCCTAAAATCAATGGTACCTCTCGATCCTGATCCATGTCCAAAATAACGAAGTCTACAGGGATAATAAACTTGTCCACTTTAACCAACACGTCTTCAACAATCCCTTGGGGATATTTGACTGAACGATCAGCCAACTGAATGCACATACGTGTAGATTTAAGTGGACCGAGTGCAAGCTTTTCATACAAAGTGAATGGCATCAAATTAATGCTTGCACCCAAATCAGCTAAGGCCCTATCAAAAGTAAGATCTCCTATTAAGCAGGGTATAGTGAAAGAACCTGGATCCTTAAGCTTCTCTGGTAGATCCCTCCTAATCACAGCTGAGCAGTCCACGTTAAGCCTCACAGTTGATGCTTCTTCCAACTTCCTCTTGTTAGTAAGCAGATCCTTCATGAACTTCGCGTACTTTGGCATTTGTGCTAGTGCATCCACGAATGGTATGTTAAGCTGGATTTGTTTCATGAGTTTCAGAAAATGACTAAACTGGTCACTATCATTCTTCCTTGTCAATCGTGCCGGATAGGGGAGAGGTGGGGTGTAATTCTTGACCGGAACGGGCTGTTTTGGTGCAGCCGCCATCTCTCTTCCCTCTTCTTTCTCCTTTTCTTCTTCCCGGGCAGCCGGTTCAACATCAACTTCATCGGGCTTCTTTGTTGTGGCAGCAGGTTCTAGCTCTCTTCCACTCCTCAAGGTGATTGCCTGGACATGTTCTCTTGGGTTTGGCTCGGTATTACTAGGGAGGGATCCCTGAGGCCTCTCATATACGGCTTTTGCAAGTTGCCCTATTTGATTTTCCATGTTTTGCATCCTTGCATTTGCTTGTTGATTATTTACCTCAGAAGCTTGTGTGAAATGTTTGAGGGTTTCCTCCAAGCTAGCAAACTTTTGGTCAGTCTCTCTCATAAAATTTTCTTTCCCCGGCTGAGGTGCTTGCTGCTGGCATTGAGGTGCTTGGGGCTGATTATAGTTCCTAGATTGCTGCTGCTGCTGATTTCCTTGCCTGTAATTCCCCTGTTGGTGCTGTCCGTAGGGCTGATTGTAGTAACCCTGCCGCTGATAATACATTGCATCCACTTGCTCTACTCCAGGGGCTGCCGAGTGTGCCATCATTGTGCATTCATGTGGCGAATGGAGTCCCCCACACATAGTACAAGAGGGACTAATAGGAACAGGGGCTACCATGTTAACACTGGGCACCGAGAGAGCAAGATTCGTCTTCTTCTGATTATCCTCCACACTTGTAGCAAGCTTCTGAATCATGCTAGTCAAAGCATCTACCCTCGCAGAAAGGGCCGAATTATCACTGATCTCATACAACCCCGGGGTCTTCTGGTGAGGTGTGTCCCGAGAGCTGTACCAGGAAGCATTATTAGAAACAATCTTCTCCACTAATTCTTCTGCCACCTCAGATGGTAATTGAGGAAAAGCTCCTCCACCCGAAGCATCAAGCATCATCTTCCCTTCATCGCAAATTCCGCTATAGAAGCAAAAAAGAATCTCACTATTGGTCATCTTGCCTTGAGGACAAGCTCTTCTAAGTACTTTAAATCTCTTCCACGCCTCAGCCAATGTTTCCAACGAACCTTGCTTGAAGTCTTGCAGCTGCTTCTTCAGCTTTATGGCCTTTGATGTTGGGAAGTATTCTTTTATGAAGGCCTTGTGCAGCTGATCCCAAGTCTGAATGTGGTGATGTGGATTGCTATCCAACCACCTCTGCGCGTCATCCCTCAATGAGAAAGGGAACAATAGCATCCGTACCTGATCGTCATCTAGCCCAGGGATCTTGAAAGTTTGGCACATCCTCAAGAATTTTGTAATGTGTGCCACTGTATCTTCTGTAGGGCTCCCTCCAAACTAATTATTGGACACCATGTTAATCACTGCTGGGTTGATCTCATAGCGGGGTGCAGTAATTCCCTGCACTTGAATGCTGTCATACTCTGTGATGTCCGGAGTAAGGAAATCTGCAATGCTTTCTCCTTGATAGAGCGGATTGTCATGAGGGACATAGTTCTGGTATGGAGGAGCTTGATATCTCGGCTGATGAACTGGTTGGGGTCTAATGGGTTGTGGACGGATGATATTTGGCTGAGGTTGGGTTTGATGGAATTGTTGATATTGGGGTTGGAGAGGCTGATTTTGTGGCTGAGTAGGGGGTGGATTTTGTGTGACTGGCGGTTGGTTCTGTCTGGGCTGGAAGACTGGATTGTTTTGCCCTAGACCTTGCATCCCAAAGGTTTGGTTTTGAAAGGTGGTTTCGGGAGCAATAGAAGTATTTTGAAAGAGCTGATAAAGTGGTGGAAGATTTAGTTGTGGAGTGGACTGATTTTGGGGGAGGAATGGGGTACGGAGATTTTGATACCCCGGATAAGCTCTAGGTGAATTTTCTTGTGAAGACTGGGGAGAGGTATTAACATAAAAATCCAGATTACCAGAAGTGGTTTGGACCTCAGACGTCCCAGCTATTCCAAATGCGGATGGTTGATCCATGGTTGCTTTCTGTTCTCGTAAAGCCTTGCGGTTCTGCTTAGCTAGCTTCTCGATCTCAGGATTAAGAGGGACTAGTGATTCTCCCTTCTTAGAGCGTGTATGCATAAACAGATCTGACCTGCAAGGTTAGCAGACAAAAATCCTACGAAAAACTAAAAACAAGTCGCTAAAATTAATTAACCCTTAAATCCGACACCGTCCCCGGCAACGGCGCCAAAAACTGATGTGAGTTTTCTCGCACTTAAAATGGTTGTAGAAAAGTGATGTAAAGTACGAGTATCGTCTCCACAGGGACGGACAAAAGGGAATTAAAGATTAACTAAATTTAGCGATTAAACAGAAATAAAAAAATTAAAATGCGATGTGCGAGATTGATTGATTGAATTAAAATTAAAACTAATGCTAATGAGCGATAAAAATAAAAGATTGGTTTCTTCTTAATTAACGACGAAGGGAACAGGGATTGATTCCGGGGTAACCAGATTTCTGGCAGATCAGGCCTAATTACATGAATTTAATTTAATTGAGCCTAGCTAATCATTACTAAGTTCTTACCGCTCTCGCGGCGTAGAGTACAATAATTTAGAGGACCAGGCTGATCTCTCATGCGACAGGATCCTAAATTATTGCCAAGACGAGCGAGCTTACGGCCCCCTAATCGCTACTAATCTCTTAGCGAACGATTAAGTGTGTGTGAATGTGTCCTAGAACAAATTAGATCTCTCTTAATTCATTCTACATGCAATTGTAATTCTAGCTGCAGTCTAGGTTACAAGAGATATCAATTAAATTATTCAAACACAAATTAAACGGCATTCATGCAATTAAACCGACAAGAATCTAGCCATCAATCATGATTAACCCCTTCATCAACCCCAAATCCCTAATTAAACTACTCACAATTCATAATTGAAGAATCAACAGAATTGAGATGAATAGAAATAATTGTCATTAATTAAAAAGATGAACTTACAAATAATCCCAGGGTCTTGGAAGAAAATAGCGTAAAAACGGTGTTAAATTCGTCCCTAGGCCTCTCCGTAATGTTCGTAACGTCAAAATATGGGTATGGGAGTCTTATTTATAGAAAACAGATGAGTTTGGGCTGAACTGGGACTAAAAAAGGGTTGAAATCCGCGTCTCGGGTGTACGCACGATCGTGCGTACCTTGCCACGCACGATCGTGCGTAGCAGGCAGATTAGTTGCCGCGTTGTTGGCTCTTACGCACGATCGTGCGTCCTTTTACGCACGGTCGTGCGTCCGTGCTCTTCAGCCTTTTTTCTATTCCGAATTTGACAAAACTTCCTTCATGAAAGTTGTAGATAATGAAGTCCTCTATCCACCCCAATTTGCCGAATGTGATTTGGATCATCCAATCAAGAGATATGATCAAAACGGTGGAAGGTGTCATTCTGAAATCGCAGCAGAGATCATCTGACTTCATCGTCTGTTTTCACCTTCTTCCTCTCAGATTCTCGCAAAGGTGTCTTCATATGATTTGTAGCCCTTGAAGTTGGCTTTCCTATGGAACTTGAATCGTGTACATTGGATGTTGATTCAAAGAGATATGCTTGAACGATTGACAGAAGGTCATCCTGATCGTCGTTTTCAAGCTTCATTTATCTTCTTTTGACCCCGAAGCCAATCCTAGAGCTCTTTTGACATCAAATCTTCATCGTGAACCTCCCGGTGACCTCCAAAGCTCTCAAATCACTCTCGAATGCATCTCGAATCATCCCAATTGCTCCTCAAGCGCCGGTGCCGGACTCTAAATTCCTGATTTTGACTCCAAATGACACAAAACTCGAACCAACGCCTGTTAAACATAACTTGAGCTAAAATTGAGACTTGCAACACCTTAAAGCTAGGAAAACCATCAAAAGCCGATCTCAACACGCATCAAATGTGTGTCTAAATACGGACTTATCAAGTAGCAATGCTATTAGGCATAAAGCACATTAGTGAAGTCCAATATCCATAGAGCACATATTTATTTCCTAAATATGTGTGTAAGTCAAACCGGGAACATCTTTACGCGACGGAGGGAGTATATCGGAATGTCACACAGCAAATTCCAGTGTATAATCATTGAGACCATTCAATTTCCTAGACAACTTGTAGCCAGGTATAGAATTACGAACAAGCAATGAGAGGTTAGTCTCAACACACACACACACATATAGGCTAAAGGGTCAAATATGTACATGAACTAACTTAAAGTGTTCAATTAGCCTCTTATATAGAAGGTTCTGCCCGGCTGTCGCCAATTGTGGCGGTTCCCGGTGGAATTTTTTGATGAAATTTTTTGAGCATCTTCTTCATTAAGTCTAGTTTACCCATATCAAATTTTAACTAAAATAAAATCGGGAAGGCAGTCAAATGATTTTCCGAAATGTACTGCGTTGTTTAACTGCGCAGTTATCTTCAAAAACTCATTTGACTGCCTTCCCGGTTGAATTTTTAGCTGACATTTGGTATGGGTAAATTAGACTTAGTGAAAAAGATGCTCAAAAAATTTCATCAAAAAATTCCACCGGAAACCGTCCCAATTGGCGACGGCCGGACAGAACCTCCTATATAAGGGCTAATTGAACACTTTAAGTTAGTTCATGTACCTATTTGACCCTTTAGCCTATATATATATATATATATACACACACACTAGCGACGTACACACTACGTGCCATTTGTGCTCAATACAAAAAGTTATTACACATGTCTAATGAAAATGAGTTATATAAATTATGAAAATGTTGATTAAAGAGTAATGGTATTTATTTTAAGGGTAAAATGGTTGCCCTCAATTCGGCGAAAAAATAATCATCTAAATTATCTAAACATGCAAAATTTGCATTGAATTAGCCAAATGAATATTTTAAAATGAGTGTTTGCATAAATTCAATTGGTTGAAGCATAATTTCGTAGTTTGTGACGTTGGATATGATGGAATTGTTCAAACTTTCAAATTGTTTACGTTCTAATTTTCATTGTAGTATACTACTCCGTATAATAGTTAACATCAGTATAAAATGGTAATGAAAAATAAATTGTTCCATAATCTTCATCATGTGTTGAACAATTTTATGTGTAAACAACATACTCCGTATTAATAATATTCTTGATTCTTCTTTTTAGTATGTGAGTGAATCTTACAAAGTTGAATTTAGTACTGTTTTTTAACGTTTTTTTAAACCGGTAATCAGACAACCAAAATTAATGGAGCAAGAGCCCGTTTGGTAGCACGAAAATCGGCTTATTTGGCTGTTTCTGCTGAAATTTATGAAGTTTTGGCTGAAGTGGCTGCATGGGCTGATTCTACTGATTTAAGAAAAAATTATTTTTAAAATATATTTTATTAAAAAAATAAAGAAAAAGTTATATATAAAAATAGCTAAAATGGTCATCTACAGTAACTTCAGCCAATACAGTCAGAAAAGTAACTCTAAGAGCCCGTTTGGAGAACTCTGTTTTCGGCTTATCAGGCTTATCAGCCAGCTTTTTCACCAAACACGTAACTTTTACTTTCGCGCGCTGAATTGTGTAATAAGCCGAAAAAGTAAGGTTGGAGTTACTTTTCTGACTGTATTGGCTGAAGTTACTGTAGAGGACCATTTTAGCTATTTTTACATATAATTTTTTCTTTAATTTATTAATAAAATATATTTTTAAAATATTTTTTTCTTAAATCAGCAGAATCAGCCAAAACAGCCACTCCAGCCAGAATATCATAAATTTCAGCAGAATCAGCCAAAACAGCCGATTTTGGTGCTACCAAACGGGCTCTAAGTCTCTAACCTTACTTTTTCTGCTTATTACACAATTCAGCGCGCGAAAGCAAAAATACGTGTTTGGTGAAAAAGCTGGCTGATAAGCCGAAAAACAATGTTGCCAAACGACCTCTAAATGTTGGAGAGCATTTATCAGGATATTAGAAATAAACCTCTCTCGAAGTGGTATAAATAAACTAATGTTTGTGCAAAGCACCAAAAGTTTAGGACTCATGCGATTACAAGCCCACCTTACGAAGCAATACTCACATGCACACATAGGGAATTCCTTCAGAGCCAATTTAATTGCACCAAGTACCTGAGCTAAAAGTTGAGTTCCATCCTTGAAGATCCTATCTTCTGATATTGAAGCTTGGGAAAGAAGAATAGTTGCAGCATTCGAATGTTTATGAATCGACCTGAACGAAATAACCATTTCTGCTTCCACTTAGGCTTCGTGTTCTCTTTCAAGTTCTGATAATGTTTAGAAGTGATATCTATCTCCACCTATCTGTATTAAGATTATAACACCACAGAGTAGCTTTGTTTAAAACTTCCAACTGATCAGCTGTCTCAAGGGAATAGATAAAAGATGTCTTGATCACCTTAACATGATGGTTCCTAAGTATAACCCCACTTGAGATTCTAATTGTCCTTCTGAATAGAGCCCTATTTAGCTTAGCGGACTTCTCTCCCGGTTTACTCCATCTTTGAACAAACGATCTTTTAATGAAAGCGTGTGCCGGAATAAGACCTGCATGCCTTAAAGCCCCAGCTTCACTTAGTATGTCATGAGCCATGCACCATGCCAACATATATTACCTGATCTGGTTAACAATTCTACTATCATCAAACTCCTCGTTTCCCCAGGTAGCTGAGCAGTAACACTTCCATAAAAACCATGTAATAACTCCTGGTGGTACTACCATGTAATTGCCATCTATTGTTTTCCTATTACTCTTAAGCCACTATCTGAAGAAACCTTAATTAAGCCTAGACTCATTTTTCCAATCTCTCAGTAGTAAGCATGCAAAATGCTTTCAAACTTTTGCTGCGTGACTACATTTGTAAAGAACATGATTTTCTTATGCATCATCGTTTCGACGGAATGGACACATAGATGGGAAAACCGCTGAAATCTTACTAGATTAGCCGGGAAGGGGAGACATCCATACCATAACCTCCAAAGAAAGATGCAAACTTTAGCTGCCTGTTTAGAGTGCCAAATAAAGGATAGTGAAAGGGATGATCCAGGACTCTTGTGCAAAGCTTCATAGGCTGATTTCACTGAATAACCACCCTTCGAGGGCAGCCATTAAGTTTGTTATTTTCTCTACCAACCAACTTTTCTACTTCCAAGTTGATTCCATTTAGCCTTCGACACATGCGAATCTGTAAGCTTAATATCAACAGGAGTTCAATTGTGATATCTCATGTGCATTAATTTAGCCCACAGTCTTTGATCCTTTCTTGATAATTCCACCACATTTTCATGGAAAACAATTTTTGAATCTCCATGAAGAATCTGATACCAACTCCCCCAGCTCCTTCGGTCTATACATTTTTTTAATTACCAAAGTACATAAATATGAAGTTTAAAGAGTATCATATATAGAAGCACAACCAAAAAGGATATTTAAATTTTAAAAGGTTGGATAAAACACATGACTGTCTTAAATGTACGATCTATAGGCAAATCTTTTCATTGTAATTAAGTGAAAATTTCTAGGAAGTTTACAGACTACTATACACTTTTTGGTTGAAAAAATCGACATTATATACTAATTTTGTAGTTTCATTTAGCATTTGTGAAAAGTATTTCTTTTTAAGAAATGAAAAAATGGCAGTTTTTATGTCATGCCAATTTGTAAGATAACTTCTTCTCTATCTGCAGATGGTGTTCTCCTTATTTGTAGGATTGTACCTATAAATACAATGACCCTGAAAAATGTGAAATTCACAATGTAATGGAGGGAAGGGAAAATGATGTAAAGGAAGTAATCAGCATCTGTTGATTTTTATTTTTTATAGTAGTGCAATGTGATATGTTTCTTCTGTTTATTAATTATGAACTATGACCCCTAAAAATAAAGTATATGTAAAAAACAAAAACAAAAACAAAAAATTATGAACTATGACCCTGAAAATTATTTTGTGTGTGTTCCGTTTATAGTTGAGCCCATTTTTTTTAGCAATTTATATGTTCCGTTTGTATGTTAAACAAGTGTAGTTACACTCTCTACTGGAAAAGTATACATTGAGAAACCGTTCTAGAGGCATTTTGACGAACAGTATGGAGGCATTATTAGTTAATGACATTGTTTAAGGTCAGTGAAATGAGAAAAAGTTGTTGACTGAAAAAAACTGTGCTTATTAATAGTTATTATGATTAAACTTGCACAACCGGATTAGAATCACAGTTTTAAACTCAAACGTCATTCACTGGCACGCAAATAATTTCTGAGTGCAAAGCAATTAATGCAAATTGTGTTGTTCGTTGTGAACAACAATTGCGAAATAGAAGAACATGTGTGCAGTCTTGTAGATGTGTCGAATAGATAATGAAGTCATTTAGAAATACCTTCTTATCGGCGGAGAGAAAGATGAAAATACGAAGAATGAAGGTATTAGACCGTCTGCCGAAAAGAGATTTGAATCGGCGTGTATAACTTAAAACGCTTCCATTGACGGATCGGAACCGGTCAGAATTGGATGGAAAAAGGACGAGGCTAACATGTGTTTATTGAAGTCTCTGATGAAAGTTGCATTCTTTTTGGTAGCAAATTCCAGTTTAAAGACCGGGGAATTTTAAAGTAGCAACCTGAATTTAGTTTCTATATCGGAATGTCACACAGCAAATTCCAGTGTAGAAGATGAGTGTAGCAACCCAACCCACACCTTGTCGTTGTTTTCATCGCAGCCAACCACCTTCAGGTATTCATTCGGCACTTGCCATCTTCTTTCCTATTCTGCTTCTTCCTTATTCAATCAAGGAGGATTGTATTTGTCAAGAGGTTCCTGAATTCTGTGTTAAGTTTCATATCACATGTAATTTATTGTTTATAGAAGAGGTTGATAGCTTACTGAACTGCTTGACGAGAAACGACCTACACTCCCATTTCATCATCTGGGAGTGCTTCTCAAAAAACAAAGCTTAGATATCCAGTTTCACTGTGATTTAATTAATGTCATTGCTGGTACTTATACTTCCAAACCATCTGGACCTCTCTACTTGTTTCGGAGCAAGACAAAGTCAGGCAATAGAGATGAGCGTATTCCAAAGGAAGTGGTTGGGAATTTCATGAGAAGTTTGAAGTAGCAGTCGATTGAGAGTTTTATGATGATGGGGTAGCAGTAAAGGCAGCATATAAAAGAGAATCATACAATGTGTACTTTCAGTATTCAAAATTTATTCCTCCTCTATATGCTCTATACTTGTAAGCATTGGTGACAAACAACTGATTTTCACTTCTTCTTCTAAGAGCTACTCCCTCCATCCACTTTTAAATGTCTCACTTTACCATATTAAGATGTCCCTATTTAATTGTCTCATACCTTATTTGGTAAAGTTTGTGTAGTTCAAAATCATTCTTACTTTATTCTTACTTTATCAATTAATATCAACCATACAAACTCACTTTTCTTAAAACTCATGTCATCCTCTTCCGGGACTTTTGAAAGGGGACGGAGGGAGTATTAAATTGTATAGTGAACTAGAGTTACTTCAACCATAAATCTAACCCACTATTTCACTTCTAATTCTTCAAAATGACAAATGACAAGTCCTTCCATAAATTATTGCTACATGTCATAATTTGGATTTTATTGAATCTGTAACATCATTGCTTGAATTATACCAAGCTTTTATCACTATCCTTGTTACAGAAATAAAAGAATAAAATAATTAAGTAGATAGTAATAAAATAAAATAAAAGATATGTAGTATATATTGGACAACCTTAATTTAATCCAAGAAATATAACAAATCCTATATGCCAAAGCAATACAAAATTCAATTAATTAACATTTGTTGTGACTGAGTTATTGTTTTATTGTGATGAACTATTACTTAATAGTTTTATAAAATATATAAAAAATTGCATGGAATTTTTAAAGTTATTGCCAAAAAAGAGACAATGTAAATTTAGACAATTGAATATAATTTCACTTTAAGATTGGCACAACAATTTCGTGAAAGAATAGGCAAATGTCGGGCATCACCTCCGCTAGTAATATTAATAAGGACCATTCTTGGTGTACACAAAATGTGTACATTGTTTGTGTACACAGGCAACTAAGGGGTTTTGTGGACAAATAATGTACACTAATCATTTTTCTATTATTAAAGTGCTTCGAGAATCATTTGAAGCAAGGAATCACCTCGCAACTGTTTAAGTTTAACGCAGCCGGCATGGAAGCTCTGGCATCATTCACCGCCGCCGCAGTCCCGCCGCCTTCTCTCCCAACCTCTGTCCCTTTAAAAGCCAATCGCCTTTCGTCCAAACGCATCATCCGCTTCTCCGCCTCCCACAGAAGTACCAATCTCCGTCCACTCGTATGTATTTTATTGAATTAACAATCGGGCTTTCGCGCCCCGTTATGATTCGCTCTGTTCCGCAGGTAATAGAAACGGACCTGATATCCCATCCGACTGCGATGGGCCAGCCTTCGATCCAATCATTCCCAATCAGACACTTTCCGAGGTAAAGTCTTCAAACCCCTTTGTGTTTCTCTTCTGGATCATTACTCGGAATTTCCATCATTTCTGTTAGGACGTGGCGATGGGGTTAGTTCTGAGAGCTGCGAACGTTCGAGGCTGGACTACAGGTTCAGGGATGGAAGGACCGCCGGTTCCGGCTGGTGCAAAACCGGATTCGGGAACGGAGCAAGTATCTACCTTCCCTTGGTCCCTCTTTACCAAATCTCCCCGACGTCGTATGCGTGTGGCCTTCACCTGCAACGTCTGTGGACAGCGCACAACTCGCGCCATCAACCCTCATGCTTACACGGATGGTACCGTCTTTGTTCAGGTACCTAATTTTTTTACTATTATGTAAATAAATTGGATTGGATTTATTTTTCGAATTTTACATGTTTTGTTCAGCAATTGTTATGCTTGGCATACCTCTAGCTTCGCCAGTTGAGGGTGTAGAAGAATCTAATTAATGAACATAAGTGTAAAAGAAAGATGAAGGAAAGGGAGGTGTCAGCTGTTACGTTGTTCTTGTTTGGGGTGTTTAAATTGGGAAAATAGGATATAAAATGCAAGTAACTATCTTACGAGGAGAAAATGGTGTAGACAGTGAATGTCTAGGGTTGCAAGTGAGAGTGGAAAATACAACAATGTTTTAAGACTTCTCTCTTCACCTACCCTACACTCCCAAGTGGGGGGATTATAACCAACTCACTAGAAATGAGTTGCAGGTAAGGGGATGTTTACACGCAGTGGCGTATTCAGGAAATATTATATATATGGGGTTGGGTGGGGGTTGAGAGGAGACAACTGCCCCCTTTGAATCTGCCACTGTTTACACGCCCTTACACTTCTGACTTCTCTCACCTATTATTTTTATTACATCCTTTCCATAATAGGTCAATCCTTTACCCTCCCCGCCTAATACTAAACTTTTATATTAAGAAGATCAATAATATTTCAGCTAAACAATTGATGTAGCGAAATTATAATAAATTTTCAGAGACAGGTTATAAACTATGGAGTACATATTATGGAGTAGTATCAAACAAAGAGGGACTAAAAATGTGATTCTTACCCATGTCCCTATGCTATCTTCCGTGTCCCTATTTACGACTCTAGACCTGTTTGGTTTTAGTCGGGCTAGGTACCCACCCAATTAGGTGTTCTAGTTCTGTTAAGCACTGCTTAAGTGCTGGGCTAATGCTTGGCAAATTTCATAAGAATGATTGTCATTCCTCTACTGATCTTCAATTGCTTACTGTCTAGTTAAATTTCTGAATTGGTCTGTTTTATGTGGTCATGTAGTGTTGTGGATGCAACATATATCACAAACTGGTGGATAATTTGAACCTGTTTCATGACATGAAATGTTATGTGAATTCTAGTTTTAATCCGAATCCAAACAGTGCCCTTAGCTTTGAGTACATGGACTTGGATGATGACAAACGAGATGAATGATACTTTACCACATCAATTGTAAGTTGAAATCAAAAGACAGCCAAAAGTTTGCATTTTTCTTTGTATATTCTGTTTCCTTTGAGCAGCATATATTTTGTTTATTGTTCTTGTAAATTACTAAATTCTCTTTAGTCTTGTATATTCATTTAATAACTTTGCTATAAATCCCATGATATCGTTTTAGAGCATTTGTACAAGTATTTGGTTATATGGTATTCTTAATTAGTCAATTGGATCTTATGGGTTTAATTCCATTTTAACCTCTTAAAGCTTAAAAGGCCCGTCTTTGCATTGCATGACCATCCGTGTGCTCTAGCTTAGGGGTTGATGCGGTCAAGATGTGGACGATTTATATCACAGAGTTGTCTTATGGAACAAGATTGGAACTCATACTGGGCAAATGTATAGTTGGACTGGATTGGGGGCTTCTGGTTCCCACAACTAGCTCCTTCAAAAAATTGGTCCAGAAGAAGCACACTCTGAAGTGTGAACCACAATAGAGATTAGAGACCAACACTATAACCAATCTGTATCTAGGGACTTACTTGGCCCCGGTTTGCTTTCAGCTCCAATTGTAGCATTGCCCGTAAAAGAACCGAACGTGGGCTATGAGTTGTGTTTTGGTTCTGATTAGGTATTGGCTCTGAATACCCTATCTTTCATTTAAAAAAACTGTCATTCCTGCTCTATTCAGAGGAACGCATGCCGGTTCTGTGCCTTGTTCAGTTAATTAACATGCTTGGTCTGATGCTGTTCGGGATTGGGTCCGGATCCATCCTTGACTAGAAAATTACACGGATGCTATGGCATTTTTAGAATTAAGATGGTCCGGTTGGAATCAAATTAGAATACCGTTCCACCCCTCACTTCAAATAAAGCGCAATCACTCACATTATAAAGGAATGCACAGGCCCACACATTTCATGCAGGGGCGTATACAGGGTATGGGCCTCCTCTCAAGTTTCAATCCCACCCAACCCCTATACATATATATCCAATTTAAAATTATACATATATCATACTTCGTATATCATATGTGTGTGTTAAATAAAAGGATCGTATATAATAAGTACGATACTTGTAGTTAGATGTGTCCGTGGCTGAGCGGAAAGAAGTATAGGTATCAACGGTGCTTCCTAAATGGGCAAGGGGGTTCGAATCTTTGCTTCAGATTTTTTTGATTTTTTTTGCTTTTGCCTTTGAAGCCTTAAACATATTTTAAGTGGTTTTATATTATTCTTTTTAATTTTTTTCTTGCAGGAAAGATCTAAACTACATCAATATAATTACAATTCTAGTTTATCGTATGAACTCATTTTATACATAATATATACTACTTCCGTCCCTCTAAGAACTTTCTACTTTGACCTACACACATATTTAGGAAATAAATTTGACTTTACTATAGAGTACACTGTTTCGACACTGTTTGCCACTGTTTTAATGTAGGATAACTTTCCATTTAGGGAAATGAGAAGATCATTTTGGGACGGCTAAAAAATGAAAGCGGGGAGATCTTAGTGGGACGGAGGGAGTACTAATTTTTAAATATGCTTGTGAATTGTCAATTTAAATTAATTCTAAATACATGCTTGATCCTTCCCTTGGTTGATTCATTTATATATTGACATAATTTTGCACAAATTACATGTGACATGTAATTCTAACAAAGTGAAATTACACGTGTCATGTGACACTTTGTTTGTGTGTTAATGATTCACAATATTTTAAAAACTAATGTGAGCATGGATTACAAAATGATTGACATGCTCATTTTTTTAGACTTTTGTATACACAAAATTTTTTGTTACATTTTTATCTTCACTATTCTTACATATATGTAAGAATTTTCATTTTGGAGGGATTAGTGAGATGTGAAAGCCCCGTTGACCGTGATTAAGGATCATATTTTTGCAAAAATGATCATAAATAAACCTATAATTGTTCTCGAATTTTGTTAATTTTTACGATATATGAGAGTATGAGACAAACTTTTTCGCGGAAGATGTTTGGTCCATTGATAATGACGCACATGTGGATGATGTGTGGTTATCAATGGAGTCCACCTTTAACAAAGTGGCGAAAAAGATACTTGGAGAATCTAAAGGATGTCTGCCACCAAAAAAGAACATATTTTGGTGGAATGATGAGGTGAAACCAGCAATAAGGATCAAAAGAGAATACTATAAGAAATTGGGCAAGAGTTGGAGTGACGAGAACATAGAGGAATACAAGGAGGCTAGAAGAAGAGCAAAGAAAGCTGTAAAGGAAGAAAGAGGAAAAGTGAACATACGGTGGTTTGGGCATGTGTGTAGAAGGTCGAGTGATGCACCTGTCAGACGTGTTGAGATGTGTGGAGAAGAGGTAGGGAAGAGAGGAATGATGAGGTGAAATGATGAGGTGAAACCAGCAATAAGGATCAAAAGAGAATATTATAAGAAATTGGGCAAAAGTTGGAGTGACGAGAACATAGAGGAGTACAAGGAGGCTAGAAGAAGAGCAAAGAAAGCTGTAAAGGAAGAAAGAGGAAAAGTGAACATACGGTGGTTTGGGCATGTGTGTAGAAGGTCGAGTGATGCACCTGTCAGACGTGTTGAGATGTGTGGAGAAGAGGTAGCGAAGAGAGGAAGAGGAAGACCCAAACAAACGTGGGTTAGGGGAGTCCAAAGTGATATGCATCTTCTTGGGTTGGATGAGGGTATGACTCTGGAGAGAGCAAAGTGGAGGAGTGATCTCGTATTATTATTTCCCCTCATCTTTTTTCTTTTTTCTTTTTTCTTTTTATTCTTTTATCCTTATATATATACATTATTTTTATCTTTTTTATTTTATTATTTTTAGGTATATTCATCTCTTTTTATTTTATCTTTTTATAATAGCTTATTTTTTATCTTTATTTTCTTTCTTTTTCTTTTGGTGGTGATATCATGTATCGATTCATGTTAGCTGACCCCAATATCTTTTGGGACTAAGGCTTGGATGTTGTTGTTGTTGTCGTTGTTGTATGAGAGTATGAGACAATTAAAGAATATCGTTGACCTTGTTAACTAAAGTGGGTGTATTGTATTTGGAATTAGGATGTTTTTACTTGGACTGTAATTTGTTGGGCTGATCTGGTCTGATCTGGTCTGAACTAGTCTGGTTTGCTCTGGTTTCTTTGCATTTTTATAACTATCCAAGTCTGGTATGATCTGGTTTGGCCTGAGACAAATTACAGTCCAAGTAAAAACATCCTTAGTGACAAAGTTTTAAAAGTCCATGAATTTGAAAAGTTTACGTGTATTCAATGTAGACTTTTAAAACTCTATAAAAATCTAGGCACATTCAAACTTTCATTCATTCTTATTGACTTCTAAAATTATAGATTCTTGTGGACTTTTAACTAATTCTTAGTACATTATTTTTTTGCAATTGTCTTTTCTCCTCACCAAAAATTTCCGTGCACTTTTCAGTTGTCTTCTACTCGTCACAAGTACGCATATCCGGTTGCAGATGTGGCTAATTATTACCGGCCGGGTTGGGAGGTGGGAGGTGGGTACCGGGATGATCTCGATATGCAAGATTTGAACGTTAAATTTCGATTTTTATCATTGTACGGTAAATAAAGTTGAACGAGGAAATTCTAAATTATTACCGATACACAAGATAAACATAAGACTATTAAAAAGTGATATTTTAGATATTGTCTTACGAAGAAAAATGTAAGGGTGAGATCGGTTCAGTTGTTGAAAGAAAATTAGGAACCATTTGAAAAACCGTTAATTCCATGTCGATTCGCTTCTACATTATTACCATGTTTCATCGTTAAACCCCTAACACATAAAAATATAATTTCAAATTAATAAATATATAACCGTAAATAAGTATACAAAATTTAACAAACTAAAAAATGAAAAGAAAACAATTATTAAGAAGAAAAGCTCGATTGCACTCCCGGATGTATTTTTCAGGATACGCCGCTAATTTCGTGTATACACACATTTCATGTATACACACACATTTTTATATCTCGCCAAACTAGTATAGTACCCGTGTGACGCATGGGAAAATACTTTGTTGTGTGTTAATGATTCACAATATTTTAAAAACTAATGTGAGCATGGATCACAAAACGATTGAAATGCTCGGTTTTTTTTAGACTCTTGTATACACAACATTTTTTTGTTACATTTTTATCTTCACTATTCTTACATATATGTAAGAATTTTCATTTTGGAGAAATTAGTGAGATGTGAAAGCCCCGTTGACCGTGATTAAGGATCATATTTTTGCAAAAATGACCATAAGTAAACCTATAATTGTTCTCGAATTTTGTTAATTTTTATGATTTTTTAGACCATTAAAGAATATCGTTGACCATTAAGAAGAACATGAAGAATATATATTAGGCTCGAAAAATATAAATTATACAATTCTATGTTGAAATACAGTATGAAAAATAGAATAAATTAAACTCAAAATATATTTCTGTCCAACTTATATATTTGCATTTATTGTTATACTATGCATACATGAAATATACTTGACGCATGATGAAGCATAAGAAGAGGGAAAATGGTCATGTACTTAAAAAAGCATCACATAAACATATCTACTTAAAAAAGAATCACACTAAGCCATTTGCTGGAAGAAGATCCTTTTTAAGATCCCTTTTAGCCGGTAAATGTGTTCTTTCTTTTCCCATTTTTTCTTTACTTTTTTCCTTTTTCTTTCCTCATGTACGGTATTTTGGTTCGTCCATCTCCCACCCTCTTTTATCATCGACAGGTCGGTCAGAAATAAATCGGCAAAGTCGTCCCTGGCTCAGAAGGTTCTTTAAGAGCTGTTTGACAAAACAAGTCACGATAAATCTCTGGTCTATGTTAACTATAGGATTTATACAGGTGATAGGCCGGTTTTTAAATTTTTGTGCTCGTAGAAACCTTGAGTGGTTAAACAAGCCTAGCAAGCAGCATGTTAGAGTTGGAAGAGGAGTCTTAACTCAAAGTCTAATTCACCTTTGTTCTCTCTTTTTAGTTTCTTAAATGAGAATCTCTAGTTTTTCGCCTTATGTGGACAATTGAGCCATTTTGTATCTAAACATTTGGTCACTTCCATTTCGGACAAACGACTGGACAAACAAATTGGGCTAAACCCTGCTTTACTGTGATAGAAATCAAGAATCTATCAAGATCGTTTGAACCAAACCACAATAAAACAATGAATCATCTCTGACAATGCTTCTGTTTGAAGCTACGTGATGCCTAGAGAATGAGGGCAAGGATTTATCCTATGAAAATTAGAAAAATGTTTGTGTTCGATGTGGTGATGGTAAACATTACTTAAGGTACCACATTAAACCTTTGTGCTAATAGCATGTGGGAGATGGACAATTATCAAGGAGGAAAGAAAAAGAAGGGAAAAAATGAAAAAAATCACAATTAACGACTAAAAAGGTCTTCTTCCGTAAAATGGATTAATGTGATGTTTTTTTAGAGTAGACATGTTTATTTGATGTTTTTTAGGTATATAGGTCAAGGTGATGGAATTACAATTGCATAAGGGTCTATTTGACACTTTTTCCAAAGCGTTACAACAATTTTTTAAATTCTTGGCGCATAATCAAATGAAAGAATGCCGCCAATACTACTCTTGAAGAAGTGATGGACAAAAATGGGACTTAGTAATTGATGGAGTTAAATTCCAATTACAA